GGCGTCAACGAGACGTTGCAGGCATTACGGCGAAAGTATTTCTGGTGGGGAATGAAAAAATCTATCCAAGGAATCATCGGGAAATGCGAGGTATGTATGCGCACAAAGTATGATCGACACCCCCCCAGAGGAGTTCAGGAAGAGACACCTACAGGGAATATGCCGCTACAAGACCTCCAGATCGATACATTCACCTGGAAAGGGTTCAAGTGGGTCACGATCATCGACACCTTTAGTAAAGTAGCTATGGCACATCAGGTCATGGACAAGTCTGCCAATGCAGTTGCGGAAGCCCTACAAATCTGGATACAGTTTTACGGAGTTCCCGAGAGGATCACATCAGACGGTGGCAGAGAATTCGACAATACCGCGATTAGGGAGGAGGTGAAAAGGTTAGAGGTTGTGTGGCATTATAACACACCGGGACACCCTAAGAGTAGAGGAGGAATCGAACGTTTGCACAGCACGTTGAGTGACCACATCCGTGTATATCAGGGAGAGAAAGGGTTGGAGCCGGATGTTGCGATGAAGAAAGCCGTAACAGCTTACAACCATTCGATCCACTCCGTAACGGGGTTTTCACCTGTGGAAATACTATTCGGGATGCGCAGGCCAAGGAGAGATTGGGGGGAAACAACGACCAATGAACATCTCGTAGAGCAAATCCAGAGTACTAGGGTAGAGGTAGGAAAGACGTGGGGAAAGGTAGCGGGGAGAATTCAGCGGGAAAAGGAGAAGCGGGTAGCGCGGCAGAATGTGCAGGTACGTGACCGAATGGGAGAATTAAAAATCGGAACAATAGTGTATCGTAGAATTGGAACCAACAGAGGGAAACAATTGTTACGGTACGAGGGCCCATTCAGAGTGGTTGCTATTAGGGAGCATAATCTGGTAACCATTGAAAGCATTAACGAACCTAAGAAGAGGAGAACTGTTCATATTGAACAATTGAAGCTCCCAATGTTAGAACCGGTACAGAAACCAACTGATTCGTAGTACCCTTATCGCGTATTATAAAAAAATATGTTTTTTTTATTATTATTACTGTTGATGATGTCATTTTTTTTTATTATTTTTGTTGTTCTTGTAAATAAAGATATGGCAGCATAATAGAGGTGATTGTAATTTTTATAGGATTAAGAGTTCTGTTCCATTGTTAATAAGACGTTGTGTGTTTACTTTCTGTGGTTTATTTCTTTTTATTTATTTCTCGTTCCAGCGGAGTGGAAGTGAGGTTTGGTGTACTTTAAGTTTATACTGGTACGAATAATTGTAAAGGGTTAAGGCTGATACCGGTGGCTCCGATCTAGGAATTTATAAGTTTCCGAAAATCCTATTCGTAAACTGGTGGGGGGGAGATAAAGACCGGAGACTGGCGATATCAGCCTTAATACCATCTTGTAATGTAAATAAACATAGCAATTGTATATAAGGCAGATTATTGAACGAATAAAGCAGTGTTTATTCAGAAGCCGTGAGTATTGTTTCTCGTTCCTCTTTCCTTCTTTTTTTTTATTTACAAAGCCCGGAGACGCTTAACTTATATATATATATATATATATATATATATATATATATATATATATATATATATATATATATATATATATATATATCACAAGTATTAATATAATTGTTATAATACATCCTTCAGACATTCGTCAATATATTGACAAAAGTTGATATTGAATTGGGGGTATTGACAGGATAGGGGCCTATTTAAGTAAAAGCGTGTATAATGTGGACCCTTCCAAAGAAATACATAAAACGTGAGTTTTTATGGACGTTTAGAACAAACCAAAGGCTCAATAGTGAAAACCGAATATTTAATTTTCCATCCAAATCAAGCTTGCCTTTTTTCTCTTGGAGGTTCTTATTGAACCACATAAGACTCGTAGAATCGTTCACTTTGGAATATAGGTGTAGTAGTTCCGTTCACTTTGAAGAATATATTCGAACAAACCCGGACCAATAAACAAGATTCTTAAGTAGAGAGAAAACTTATTAGAATGATTATCAGATACTTTTCTACAATATATTTTGTAGAATATCTTGAAATTAGGTGCGGTTTTAGTTTGTTTTCGAGCTAGTTGAAGTTTTAAAGTTACCATTATATTTTGAATTTTGAAATTTTTTCATATTGCCAAATATGGATATGTGATTCTTGGAGGTTTGGGAATTTAACACCACCTCACATTCGGTTCCTCACATGACGCATTTTAAAATTTAAAAGGCTGAAATTATAAACTAACTGTAAGTATTTAATATACATGCTTATAATATAGGTCTGAAATATTTGGTTTAATTTAATCATTAACGTTAGGATTCTTAAGATTTGGAATTTGTAGTATATTGTTGTCAGTTTTGTTTATCTATTTTTTGACAGCTCTGTTGTCTTATCATAAAGAAGTGATAAAATTAGAATATTTGTTATTACTTTCCTAACTATACCACAAAATTTGAAGTTATTGTTATCTTTTTTTTTTTGCACTTAGTGTAATTAGGATTTTATTTTTCTAATTTATAGTATGAAATTTAAAATTTGTGTAGGATTTATTTATAGTTGGGCACCTTATATTTTGAAACTGTTAGTCAAAATTTCAATGCATTTTGTATTATATGTTGGCACAGCAACAGATAGGTTTAGAAACTCAGGGTATTTGTCACCTATCTTTGTTGTAATGGCACTATTAAATGATATTTTTCCTATTAAACCTATTTTCCCTACTGATATAGTGTTTGATATTTGAATTTTCTGCAACGATGTATTCTAATTGTTGCATTTCATTACTATTTTAAAGATTTAGTTGATTTTTCAGTGTTTGTACTAATAATATTATAAAGTATGCTGAATTATCACTGTTTTCAAACAAGTTGTTTCTTTCTGGAATGTTCTTTACTCTTCCTTTGGTTTTCTATTATACTACTATTTAATATTTGTTTTCATATCAATCTTATGAAATTAGTGGTTAGTTGTAATGTTTCGTTAAATATTCAGGGATATTGCAACAGAGAAACTTATTTATGTCTCATCTACTCTTGCAGAGGTTCTTTTCTTTCATAATAAAATTAACAAGTATGTGTGATATATCTTGAAATAGATAAGGCCTACAAAATCAGTTGTTACTAGGATTGTGGAGGGTATATAGTGGTGTTTAGAAGTCACTCCCATACATAGTTCGTTAAAACTTGAATGTTGGTTTTCATTACTTTTTTCTAATAAGCAACTCATTTATCTTTGATCCACGAGGACAGGTGCAAAGTACTCCAGATTTAGCAGAAATATAATAATTACAGGTTTCATTATTTATCAGAGTCATATATGTTATTTTTATGTGTATACCTCTCATAATGTTTGTTGCTCAATTCTGTTTGGTGGATTAGATGTGTAATATTGTTCATACATCAGTTCTGTAGTCTGTTTTTTTTTCCAATAAGTATTGTATTTAAATCGTTAATATATTTTCTGATATACAAATATTACTATACTTTTCATAGTGACACATCCCTTTCTACCAAGGAACTTCAATTAAAAAATCGTGTTATACTGTTTTCTTTCAAAAATAGGTTTACACAAATCTATTATTATTGTTCAGTTATAGGTAATTGATTGTAATGTTTTAAGGCAAAATTCCCATATTTATTAGCCTGTTTAATTTCAGACTTATAAGATAAATTTCTGAGCATCAAAAGAAACAGAGGACATACTCGAAATTAATTTTTGGCGTATGCCATGTTGTATTAAATATTTTATTACCAAAATAATATTTTAGGAATTTTTTTACTTAATATAATATTTAGATTATAACAAGCAATAGTCTTGATTTTTTTCTTCTCCTAATTTAAATAGTTTTGAGTATGGCTTTGTTGAAGGAATTTTTTATAGTACTTTTCATCTTTCTAACAATTGGATGTATGTAATTCAATTTATTATAACTAGACCAATTATGAAACAATGTAGTATTACTAGCTAATATTGAATTAAAAAGTCACATTTGAAGATTTTATTTTTTATCTTGATGTTGTATTCTTCTTCTTTTATTTGGGAGTGTTTTTGCAGTGTGTAGCTTAAGTTGTCAGAATGATTTTAGGTGATTGGCTCTGCTAATATGAGTTTACAAGACATTAAATGAGGTTTGTTTTTACTATAATGAATATATGATATAAGAAATAACTACCAAGGGCACAAATAGAAAGAAAAAAAAAATGTAATATCCCTACAGATAATGACGGGCATATACACCGTGTACGATAATTTTTAAATGAATGCAATTAAATTATTTTTAAAACTAAAAAAAATGCATGATACTTTTTTTACATTATGTTACAACTTTTAAGAGAAAAAAACAAGTTGGTCCACAAAGAAATTTTCACTGGAATGGCTTAGTCGTTAAAGTGTTAAAATTATTATTATTTATGATTCTTCCTTCCTTTTGGCACCACAACTCAGTGGTAAGTCAATGCCTTCTGTTATAATCATTCCGGCATATTTTTGTATGGGTTTCTTAATATTTAAAGTTTAAGGGGAGGCGGTTATCAGCCCAGACTCTTCACCAGAGTCAGGTGGAGGGACTGTCTCCTCGGAGCATGCTGAAGTACTCCCCTTCTGGGGTGGCTACCTAGAGGAGGTGACCCGAGGGTGTGCACACTGTATTTGACCTTTCTCTGTAAGTGTGAAATGTTTGTAGTGTACTGTATGGGTTTCAGAGTAGTTGTTCCACCAACCCTGCTATTTCAGTGGCTGATTGCAGTGTTTATACTGGGCAATGGGGTTGCCACATCCCTATGCCAAATTATTTTTAGTATTTATTTATTTATGATGAATATATTATTCTAATTATATAACTAGAATAAGAAAAATGAAGTTTGTTTGTTTTTGATTACCATAAAAATATAATTTAGATTTTATATTGCCTATGTTATATCTTCTTTGATTGTGTTTATTTAAGTGATGTATTTGATGTTTTTATTTTATTGCAATGATTGATTTTGTTTTACAGATGTCGTTTCGTGTTGTAAGAAGTAGTAAATTTAGGCATGTTTATGGCACTGCACTTAAGAGGGAACAGTGTTATGATAATATAAGGGTTTCTAAATCCTCATGGGATTCTACCTTTTGTGCAGTGAATCCGAAATTTCTTGCTATTATTGTCGAATCAGCAGGAGGTGGTGCTTTTATCGTTTTACCTCATAATAAGGTAATTGTATGCACATATCTTAATTGAAATATTAGGGGATCCATTTTGAAGATTTGAATGTATATTTAAAACTTCTTATTCTCTACATTTTCAAGTAATGCCTAAAAAAATAATTTTATTTACAAAAACTCAAAACTGGTAGAAAATAATTATTTTTCTTCATTGGCACGACAGACGCACTAGGCGGTCCTTGGCTTGCTCAATCGCTCTAGCCCAGTCCTGTCGATCTACAGCTAGCCTTAAAGATATATAAAACTAGCCTATCAACTTTCAGGGATCTTCTGATCCTCTATCTTTCCATCTACTTCTTGACCTCCCTCGAGCCCTCACTTCTACTGAATAATTCTAGTATTACCTTTTGATGGTTCTCCTATTATCCATTTGACAGGTGACCCAACAACTTCAGATGCTGTATTCTGACATAGTCTGACTACTTCATATCACATATAAGGAGTATAGTTCTCAAGTCTTTCTAAGCTGAAATACCCCATTTTCTCTCACAGGTCCTAGAATGCACCTTAATATTTTATATTCAAAGATGTTTACCTTTGAAGCTTTTAAGTGGCGATGTCTCGCATACATACCTTGCCACTAGTCTAACTAGAGTCTTATATAGCCTTAACTTGGTTGAGCAGCTTATCAATCTACTTCTCATGAGATGAGCTACCGAGAATAAAACTTAATTAGCTGAGAAAATGCGTGCCTGGATCTCCTCCTCCTCTAATGCCACATTAAACTGTGCCCCAAGGTACTTGAAACTATCTACAGACTGGAATGTGTAATTTCTGACTGTATAACACATCTGTATCATGAATGGGCACCTGGATTCCTTTCTTCTCAAAACCATAATCTTAGTATTTTCTTCATTAATCTCTAGACCAAATCTTCTGGCCCTTTCCAGTTTCTCCAACCCATCTTTGACATTAAGGAGAGACCTTCCAGGTATCACCACATCATCGGCATATGCTAATAATTGGGTTCCTTTGTAGAATATATTGCCATTCTCATCCAGACAAGCTCTTGCTATTATAGTTTGTCATACAATGTTGAGAAGCAGCGGTGCTAGAGAATCAACTTGCCTGAGTCCAGTGTTTACTTGAAATGCGCTGGTCAGCTTACCATTAACTTTCAGCTTGCTGCTTGTATCATTCATTTACACATTACCAGTCTGGTGATTTTTAAAGGAATTTGCATATCCTTCATTGTCTGGAACAATTCATCTCTCAAAACTGAGTCATAAGAAGCTGCCGTATAATCAATGAAAGCAGCCTTATAGTGTTTTGAAATTCTTTCATTTTCTCACACATCAGTCGCAGAGAGAATATTTGATCAATAGTAGATCTATTACCGGTTCGAATCCGACCTGGGAGGGTTAAAATTTATTTCGTGGCAGACCCACAGAACGAATCTTGACTTTACCAATCTGGTTAGAATAGGTTTGGTTGTATCTCTAGAACAACTTCCCATATGCCTTATGGCAGTTGTCCTAGGGATGTAGGGGTAACAATAAAAAAATAAAAAATGTTGTAGAGGGCTATAGAGAAAATTTTTTATGATGTATTTAGAAGACTTATTTCTCTATAGTTCTTAGTCTGTTGTGTCCCTGTTGTTTTTATTGAGTGGAACGACTATTGTTTCTGACCCCTTTTTCAGCATACTTTCTACTTGCCAAATGTGTGAGGTAAGGCTATTTATTGGGTTGACAAATAAGTCGTTTTGGTTTTCAGGGTGAAATAAAACTCAATCTATTACAGACATAAAATTAATTTTAATCTACAATATATTGACTAGTATTTAATATGACTTTTTCCTATCTTTTCACTAACTGCATAATGCCATGTTCATAGAATGTCTGGAGTTAATTGTTAAAAAACTGATCCAAGTGGTTTTTGATGTCCTCTTTCTTTTGGAATTTCTTTCCATTCATGGAGTTCTTCAGAGATACGAATAAGTGTTAGTCACTTGGAGCAAGCTCTAGTGAATAGGGAGGGTGGGGCAAAAGGTCCCATCCAAGGCTCAATAATTTATTGCGAGTGACCAATGAGGTGTGGGGCCTAGCGTTGTCTTGGTGGAACATAACACCCTTCCAATTTGCCAGTTCTTGGCATTTATTTTTAATTGATTGATCCAATTTTGTTAATTGTGAGCAGTATAGAGTCGAATCAATTGTTTGTCCTGATGGTAATAGCTCATAGAAAATTACCTTGAAATCCCACCATATGGAAAGCATTATCTTCTTTGGATGCAATCCAGGTTTAGACATTCTTTTAGGAGTCTCACTACTAGGTCCCAAAGATTTTCTATGGACTACATTATCGTAAAATATCCATTTTTCATCTCCTGTTACAAAACTTTTCCAAAATGGTCGTTTTGTTGCCGTTTCCATAGTGAATCACATACAGAAATGTGTGTTGTAAAGTTGACTTCAGGTCGAAACGTCGGAAAATGTCAAAATAACTATTATCATTTATTTTTGCCTTCTTATTTCTGACTGATCACCCCAACCATTCTTCTCTTCATTATTCACGACAGTCAACCATTTACCAATTATGAATCTATCTATCTACACGGGGCCAACGACCAGATAAGAACCGTCTTACTACTCATCGCCGAACAGGACCTCAAAATTACTCTAGACATCTACAGTTACCAGCATCAATCTCTTTGCCACGCCCACCTGATTATTCACATTCTTCAGCTCCGGCCAGTACCACATCTCACGCTAACTCTTCATTTCCGGCCACCACTATCACTCACGCCAACTCTTCTTCTTCATCTACAGCTCTTCAAGCACTTAATGTACAACCCTCCTCCCAACCTCATATATTCTTCTCCTTATTAAAGTCTTCCTACCCTCACCTTAAATCATGCATCAACAACCTGTGTCACCTGCATCAACCCCTTGCAAATAGTACCAAACAGCGGATATTTCTTCTCAAATGCTGCTCTAATTCCATTTTCCCACAATTTATCAAAAACTCTTGTAACCGCATTTCAATATCACCTCCGTTTAACTCAAAATTATTAACTTCAGTTCTAACTACGTTAGAATTTCCTAGATCACATTTCTAGACAATGCTGGACCACACTCATCTTTAATGACCCGAAAAACATTGAGAGAGCTTGGTTGGAAAGTTTTCATGCTTGCACCATATAGCCCGGACCTTGCCCCATCTGACCACCATTTCTTTCGGTCTCTGCAGAACTCTCTTAATGGTGTAAAGCTGGCATCAAAAGAGTATTGTGGAAATTACTCAGTTTTTTTACCAGAAATTCTACAGTGACGGACTTATGGTTTTACAAGAAAAATGACAAAAGATCATCGATCAAAACAGCACATATATCATTGGCTAGTACTTGGAAGATTTTTAAATAAATTTGCTTTGAAAAACATGAAAAAAATAACAAAATTACTTTTTTATTAACCCAATATATATATGATATTAATATTTTGTTATTGCTTATGTAAGTTATCTTTAGGCTTTTTAATACCTGTTGGTGTTCCATCCAACATTCTCTATATGTTCACTAATTCTTGGTTTATTTGACTGACGTGTCTTCTTTCATATCTATTTTATTTTAGTCCTCATAGCTGTTATACTTTTCAACAGCTATGAGAACTGAAGTTAATTTTATTCACAAGTTATTCTATTTATTTATTTTAGGTTGGAAGAATAGCAGCGGACCATCCTCTTGTTGGTGGTCACAAAGGGCCAGTATTAGACATAGCTTGGTGTCCTCATAATGATAATGTTATAGCTTCTGGGTCAGAAGATTGTGTTGTTAAAGTGTGGCAGATTCCTGATGGAGGAATTTCAAGGTTAAATTAACTTAAATTAATTTTATCGAGTGTATTGTAATTTTATTTACCATTTTTTCTGCTTAATTTATTTAACCTATCATGCTTTTTTAATATATATTTTTTTTTATACTTTCATTATATGGTCTAATTATCACTGCTATTGTTATAATAGAAAACTGACATATTTTCATTTTAATGACAATTTACAAATATACATTCTACAATTCTTTTTGGAAATATGATTTAAATATGTTTCTTTATGAAGTTGTCTTGACGTTCTCTTTTCAAGTGTGTTTGATCTATTGATTGTTTTTATAGTTTGTAAACTTAATAATTTTCATTATTATCATTAAATAATAATAATAATTTCTAATCAAATTAATACATTGTACAGCCATAAGAGATTTAAATAGTTCTTATTTTATTTCAATAACATGATTACCGTTTCAACTGAAATGTTTTTTCCTAGAAAAAATATATTGTCAATCACGTTACAAAAGCCTGTTAATGCAAAAACAAAAATCATTCATAAAACTAAATCAACCACGTATTTTTTATTTTATGAACTAGATCTCCCTGTCAATTTTAACTATATGCTTAAATTAATTATGTAGTGTTTTAAATAACGTTTTTGATTTCTTTTTGAATATGCTCCAGGCCTAGATTGACCGACAAAGTTCAAAACTGCAGTGTCTAATAAAAATGTACTTACAAGCTTTTGCAACATTGTGGTTGACATTTAGTTTTATAATGATCATTTTCTTATGAAATGTTTAAAATATATTTTATTAATTAAAAATACTGTTGATGTCTTTTTAAATTATGAAATGTGAAGTTTTTTTTTTTTAATTGTTGATTTGCATACGATATATCTCATGGTGAAATTTCAACCTATTCAGCATTCAGGATTGATAATATTTCTTTGATAAAAAATATACGTCAAGAAAAAATTTAACTTTGCAAATAAATTTATCATGTCAATTTTTTTAAGTAGTTCCTAAACTTTCTTTTTACTTTTACTTACCTTTATATAAAATATGTATTAAGGAAAATTATTGCAATAGGGAAAATTATGGATTTGAGTTTTCAACAGAAATAAGTGTATTGAGGTTCTCTGAGTAAAAAAAAAAAGTTGGTGTTTGTGATTAGGCGTGCCCATGTGCATTTGTATGGCCTAGTTAAAAAACAAAAAGTCATATGATACTGAAATTACTTATTTAAGGTTGGTATATGCATGGGATGTTACAGTAACTTTTTCGCCAAAATCTACTCACTTGAGGTGGCTATATATCACCTGATTTACATATTTTTACAACAGTTTTTTTTAAAACATTTTTGATTAAATAGTGGAATGTGCTGATCACTCGTGAGGCGCTCTGAGAGTTGACAGATAGCGATGATCTTATATAGAGCTTAGTATTGAGAGCCTATTTCCATGGGTGTGTGTGTGAGCGTGTGTGACCCTATGGAGGCTTGGGTTGCTCCCACTACCTTAATTCTTACATATTTAATTGGCAAAAAATTCAAATTTAATTAAAATGCCTTAAGAATCACAACAGTATGTGTATCTAAAATATATATTTACTCTTTTTTTCTACGTGTTTTGTGATAGATGTTTTGGATGAAGCTCAGATTTTTCCCAAAAGATCCTCTTTTACATTTTATATATTTAATCATTTTTTAAAATTTGTCTGGTCTTAAAACAGTTATTTTTAACATTCGTTTATAAACATGGCCATAATGTTTTTTTGTTTTTTTTCTTATGCCAGTCGTTGGTCATTTGGCCATCCGACATTTGGCCATAATGTGTGGTGTGGTAATTGTTTTAAATCAACATTGAGCACTTCACCATTTTTTATATGAGTTTATTTGTAGCTGTCACTATCAATAATTTGTTGTCTGTGGTTATACTTTCAGTATATTATTTTAATGTCACTGTCACTAAATTTAAGATTAAGTAACTTATTCCTTTTTTATTTTTACACAATTTACCACATTTCTTAAATTTTGGGCTTAATATAGTACTTCATACAAGTATTTATATTGAATGTTGAGCTTGATTAGAATGTTTAGGTGGAATTTTTGGATATTTTCATTGTTTCACTGGCTTTCTTCTTGCCATCTTATGTTTCTACTTTAGTTGAAAAAAACTAAAAAATTTGACTATGGAGCTCTGAGAGTCAGCTTGATTATTTTTGTAGTGACTATGATTTCTTTACATCAGAATCTCAATATAATCTATCTATCTGTTCTCATCACTGTCTATAGTTTGTTGTGAAGTGGTTCTAGAGCTGTCCTAAACTTTTTACCTTGCCTCAACATATGTAAGCAATTGTTGAGTAGATTGAAAGAAAAAAAATACTGTTACTACTCAATCAAAACATTACTCACTATGGCTTTTTAATTTTATTTTTTTTCCAAAACTTCTCACTATCAAGTTTGTCCATATTTAATCTTGAGGATCTTAGCTTGATGGTAATTTTACCAAATTCCTCCAGGCCATTAGTTCCTTGACCAGTGACAAGGTGTTCACGATTTGTTTTTTTTTTTAACGCTTAGTTTATTTAGCACAAGTGGTTGACAAAGCTCAGCCATCATATTCTAATAGAAGATACATAGAAAGTTTTTAATGCACAGAATTTTATGATCTATCCACACAGACAAATTCTCTCTATAAGGTGAACAGTGAAATATATGGCAAAAAATTACTTTTGTTTTTGACATTGAAGACTTAGTTGATGATTTCTTGTCGTCTTAACCAGTCCTCTTCATCTCTACCTATATTGGGCTATTTCTTTCCTGTTATCTGGTAAGATGCAATAAACCATGAATCCTTATTTTAAAAAAATCAGTGGTTACGGCCACAAAATAGGTGATGTGACAAAAAGCGACCAATAAAGAGGACCTTTTTCATTTGTCACTAGATCAATCTTGCCATGGATTGTCGCGCGTGAGACTTTTTCTCACATCACTTAGTTTTTTTTTTTTTAGTAAATCATAGCTTCACTGTAAGGTAGACAAAATTTACTTCCAATGAAAATAAGAATTGATCCGTATTTATAAATGACGAAATGAATGTTTCTAGTTTTAAAATTTACGTTTAAAATAAAGAAACCTGCAGCTTGCTTTAATTATTTCTGTGGAAACATAAATATTATTATAAGGAACATTAAGTTTGTTCAGTAAGTTATGATAACCTGTATCTTTACCTAAAAAGATATGTATATGAATATATATATATATGTGTGTGTGTGTATTTGTACATTTTTTTTTTTTTTTTGTTTGGCTATGCAGACCTTGTAGATCTTTGGCTGCCTGAAACAGCCTTCTCCACCTCTGCTTATCTTGGGCTACTGCTTTCCAGTTTGCGGCATGAAGTTCAGCCATATTTTTGTTTATCTTATCTATCCATCTGGTTTTTAGCTTCCCACATGGTCTTTTGCCTACTACTCTGGCATTCATTGTTGTGTAAAGATGTTCTGCTGGATTGCTTTGAGCTATATACCCCCATCTTAATCTCTTTGCCTTCATATCGTGAGATATTGACTGACCAGTTTCTGTAGTTCTTTATTGTTCTTTCTTCTCCACCTGTTAAGGTTCTGATCCCGTATAGGTCCTGTGATCGTACGGAAGATTTTTCTTTTGAATCTCTCCATTCTACATTCTAGGGTGCCGATTAGAGGCCAGGTTTCACACCCGTACAGCAGAACCGGCTTTATCTTGACATTGTACACCCTTAGTTTGAGATTTATGGAGATTTCTCTGGATTTAAGTTTCCTTGAAAGAGAGAAGAAAGCTATGTTCACACTTGTTATTCATTGGTCGATCTCTGTTAGCTGATCATTTATTGAGGTTATTTTGGAGCCGAGGTATTTAAATCTATCTACTTTCGGAAATGATATACTGATCATGCTATTAGGGTGGATGTTTTGGCTAACTATCATATATTTTGTTTTATCTTCATTGACTTAGCCCAATTTGCTCTGCTTCTTTTAACAGATTGAGACTCTTAATATCCTCCTGATCGCTCCGAGGACAGCTATATCATCCACAGCTATATGCTCGGATTTTATGTTTCTTTCCAATGTGTACCCCTCCATCTTCATGTGATTAAGATTACTTACTCAAGGATTAAGTTGAACAACATTGGCGAGAGTCCATCTCCCTACCTCAAACCGTGTTCGAACTTCAAAGGCTTCAAATATTTCTCCTTGTATTAGTACTCTGCATTTAGGATCATTTGTACACGCCTTCGTCAACCTCACTAACATTCCTGGATATATTTATATATATATGGTAATTTACTCATTAACAATTTTATTGAAAAATGAATAAGATATCAATTATTGTTGATTTAATTTTTAATTCCATCATTTTTGGATTTTGATGAAAAATATATTAAGAATGTTTCATTCGATTGAAAAAATCAGAAATTATTCCTATTAAAATATTTCAAATTTTGCTGAATTCTTTGTCAATGATTTCAAGAAATCTAGCATATTTTATTCTCCACAAATATAGATATTCTTGTTAATGTTACTTTTTTTAATTCTATTTTTTGTTTTAGCAATTGTGGTATAAATTTTAGTGATTGATATTCTTGACTAATCCTCAACTTTTTCAAGTTTTTTCTTAAGTTCCTGATAATCCAAATTTTTACATACATGTAGTAATAAAACCCATTTAATAAATCAATATACTGAAAACCTCTGTTACTTTTCTACTTAACATAAACTTGAACCTGTAGAATTTATGATATTTTAATTTTATTTTGTATTTCATGTAGTAAGAATGATGATTGGCTAAATTTGATAATTAAAATAGTGCTGTAAATAATTTTTCAATTCCCAGCATCACTCAAATAAATCAAAACTTAGAGTAAGGATTGTTTTAATAATGTAAAACAATACAATGATATGGTAATAAATAGAATAATACTATTTAGAAAAGTTCTTTGCTTAACAAAACATATTGTAATATTTAAGAAAATTTATGACTACAAGTTATAATATTATTATAATAACAACTTAAAATTCAAATTGTTTTGAGATCATTTTTAACCAGAGGAAAACTTGTGCAAATGACAAATTGAATTATAAAGATATAATATAAGTATGATTTTATATTTATTCAATCTGGTAGAAAGAAAGAAGCTTTAATTGGGAAGAACTTAAGTAATGAAAAACACACTGGTGATGTTATATGTGTTGTGCAATGTTCATAATTTATAAATATGATTGTATTTGCTCCAATGTTTAACTGATGGTAAATTAATTTTTATGATCTATATCTTGAGAAATAAAGAACTTCAGATCTGAGTGCAAGTTATCGCATCATGTTACAGATGATACTATCATCTATTTAGTAATTAAAATGTCATAGAACTCAGAAATGTCACAGTTAAATCGTCAGAAAATGAAATATAATATTTCTTGCAACTTTTTTTATTAAAGTTGGAACATCACTTTATTAAAATATGTATATATACATATATTGATTGTTTAAATTTTCTATAAGTAGAGCACAGAGTTTTATGAAGTAAAAATCTAAAAATGTGCAATAAAAAATGTTGCAATTTGCAAAAATATGCAGTAAAAACGTTTAAATGTGGGAAAACAAGCAATATTTATTTTTAAGCATGTTTTTTGCATACCTTAATATTTTTTATGGTTATTATAATCTTTGTAATTGATGTAAAAATATCCAAATAAATTAAGGAAGAATAAATAAAAATATCCATACAAAATTTTCCATTTATAATATCCATTAGTCTTTCTTCATAAATGAGTTAAAATGAGTAATTAAATAAATTTCTAGATTTAATTCACTAAATTCATTTCTCTTTTAACTGAGAACAATAGCGTTTGTTTCCACGTTTGTTATCGGAAATTCTGTAATCTTAGTAATTTAGAATCTTCTCCATATGTTACATTATTTCCATCTGGAATTTCATTAAACTGTTTCAAATTTTGTAGCCTGGATTTTTTTTTTTTTTTAACAGCCTTTTATTTTTCTTAAATTATTATACCTATTTTATTTTCTATTTTTCTAATAAATCCTCTGCTTCTTCAGTTATCTTAATCAGCTCATTCAATGATATTTTTTTCTTAAAGGTTTGGAACAATCTTAAAGATATTTCAGACATTCATAACTTTTAATACAGATTATGCATTGTTTGTTAGTTGCAATATTAAATCTTGAAATTTTGGAAAATGTTCACCATAAAATAAAGCTGCTTCTAATAATCTGTCATCATCTTGTTATAATCACTTCAAGGAGCACTGGGTTGTTCATTGACAGCTTCAGATTCAATTAAATTACTTATGGTTACTATAATTTTCACATTACATTTTGTAAAAAAAAAAATAATAAAATAAAATAAATGTATATAAATAAATAAAATGCATGTTTATATGCAAGCAAACTGAGTAATCTCACTGAAAAAAATATTATTGATTTAACAAAACCCATTTCAAACTGGGTTAAAGACACCAGTTGTAAACAATCCTTGGATTAGATATTTTATGAGTGTCATAAAATGGGATTTGTGTTTAAAATTTAAGATTTAAGAGAATTTATGATGATGGATCTATATTTTAGGTGGGTGCATTTATGTTGTGCAGCATTTTATTTAATTTTAAGAAAAGTTTTTAAAATCTTTCCTTGTAAAATAAAGAGTTTTTTGTAATTGTTCCTGGTTTCTTCAGTAGAAATGTTTTTTTATTTTGTTAAGTAAGTGTTCAGACATTGTTATTACTTAGTATTTGACTCAGGCTGAATGATGAACCAAGAACTCTAAGTAAAATGTGACTTTGAAGTAATCGTTGACTGCGGCAAAAAAAAAAAAAAATCTTGGGTTCATTTATTGTCTTTTCTTTGAATTATGGAGAATGGTTTTAATAGTTATACATTCATCTTAATATACTTGAAATTGTGTTTAAACCTTTAATTTTAACAAGGTATCTTTAAACAAGGTACATATCTTTATTCAAGATTAACACCAAAGAAAGTATAAACTATTAATTTGTTCTTTGTTTATGTTGTTGCTTTGACTAAATAATCCAGTTCCTCACCTTTTGAAATCACATTGATACAATAGGTTGCTCTTTTAATAGTTTCCTTTCATAACATTGGAAGCTGCAGTCATGAATTTCGGCAAGACTAAGTTTAAAGTTTCAGCAGAAACACTTTGGAAAGTAGGAATAAAAGTTCGTTTGGATCATATATTAGCCCTTGAGCCAGGGCCCGAAAATCGACCTGATCGTAGACGAAGGTTTGATTATATATAACGAAAGTATATGTTATTCTGAGTTAAAAGAACCAGAATTATTAGGCCAATAATTTGAGGATTGAAACGGGAAATCCATTGCAAAAAATGTGAGAAAAGTTTAAATTTTTTTTAACTTGTATATATGGATTTAGACGTGTAAAAAACAAAATTGCTAACAAGTCCCAAAGGCAGAATACAAGTAGATTTTTGTGAGAATAGTTCATTGATAAATCTTTAGTCCTGCTAATAATAGAGGGATTAAGTGGCAAAGAACAAACAATGAGATAGGCATATGCCCTGTTTAGCGATATAGGTATCACTACATTGATAATATTAAATAGATTTAACTGGGCAGCTTAGGTCATAGTAATTATGACAAAATCCTTGCATAGTTGTAGAACAATTTTTAGACAGCCGTAAGATGGTCGGATTGCATTACTAATGCCAAGAAAGCAGGTGAAAATGGCTAAAGACTATAACCAACAAAAACCCATGGTAATTGGTATCGGAGGAAGCTAGGAGTTTTTTTTATGAATTCTGCGGCTACAGTATTTTATAATAATTATTTTATAAGTTCTCACTTTCTCCGAATATATGGCAGCACTAGTACTATGTGTGTTTCATTTCAGATAGTTAGCAATTTTCCTAGAACTACTGTCTGTATACTTGAACTTCATTGTATGTTAGTTTGCCATAGTGTAAACACTTTTTTTTTGTATTTCTAAAAATGCTGAGTTTTGTACCAAGAGTATTTGTGGTGAATTTTATTTAAAAGAAATCTGCAGCTTCAAAAGTAATGATTTTAATCTTGGAGATAAAGAGAGTTCTGGTGCACCAAAAAAGTTTGAAGATGAAGAATCATAGAAATTACTTAGTTAAGACTCATGTCAGCTAGCTGAACTTGGAAATTTGTTACTAGTAGATGACATAACAGTTTTGAAACATTTGAAAGCATGAGGAATGATTCAGAAGCAAGAACATTGGGTACCATGTGAGTTGAAGTCTTTTTGCATTTTATCATGACTGGTGATGTAAAATGAATACAGTACAATAATCCTAAGCTTAAAATATTGTGGGGTAAGCCTGGCCATGTATCAACAACATCTGTAAAGCCAAATATCCATGGTTCAAAGCTTCTCTCCATCTGTGGGATCAGCACAATATGTTGTTATGAGCTGCACAGAATGAACGAGAGGCCACATGTTGCAAAACCGGTAAAAGGGTATCTGAAAAAGCTTAAACGGAAAGTCTTGCCCCACCCGCTGTAGTCATTGGATATAGCCCCTTCCTATTGTCGCATATTTTGTTTGATGGCACATGGCCTGGCTGAGCATCACTTCCACTCTTATGAAGATACCAACAAATGTGTAGGTTCTTGGATAGCCTTAAAAGACGATTAGTTTTTTTGACGTGCAATACTTGTGTGGCATGATTTTTACCATTTACATTAAATAAAGCATTAATTTTCACAAAAAAACAGTTAGAACATATACAAGGCCCTGATCTTTTCTCTACTTTTTATGTTAATTTTGACCATCACCTAAACCATTTTTTCTTTGATTATTAATGCGGGTAACTATTTAATGTATAACTTCAATTTAAATTTTTTTAAAAATTTATTTGTAATGTTCGTTCGGTACATAATTAAACTTCAAAACATTAAAACTAAATTTAAATTTGACTGAAAAATTAGTTTTAACAAAATCTAACAGAAAACATGACAACTGAAATATTTGAATTTTCTGTTTAATAGTGGTTAGTAAAATTATTCTTTTTTATTTTCTATTATATTTTTTTTTTTTACTTTTATAGTTTCATTAAAACACTTTTTTCCCCCTTCAAAAACATGACTATTGATTTATGTTTAAATTAGTTGCAATTAATTAGTTACGCCATTATTCCCAATATATTTTCAATGGTTCTTAAAACTGTCATTTATTTCAATTTTATTTATTTTATTTTTTTTCAATATTGTAAAAAATCTTGCTATTGCTTTTTCCAAAGTATTTCAAAGTTTAGTCTTTTGTTTATTTATTTTTTCTTTCTTTATTATTTCTATTTCTTTTCTTTTTTTTTTTAATTCTCGAAAACTTGAGATTTTTAATGTTTTGTTTTGTTTTGTTTATATAGAACTTTGACAGAACCTGTTGTAGATTTGATATATCACCAGAGAAGAGTAGGGTTGGTATTATGGCATCCCACAGCTCTGAATGTACTCCTGACAGCTGGTAATTTTGTTGTTATTATATTTCAAATACTAACAGATACTATGTTTTTATTGACAAATACTTTTATAGATTGCTTTATGAAAAAATCTTCGTGCTAAAACTGTTTTATTAACATTTCATATTTACTTTAGTTTTATTCCAATACAGTTTTACTAACACAGGATCATCTTTTTTTTTTTTTTAACTTTTTAACCCTTTAATGCCTGAAATCTAAAGAAATTTGTTAATTTCTTTTTCCATATGATTAATGAAGTGTTTATATAATTAATAACTTTCATTTATTCGCCTTATTACTTAATTTAATTTATAATTATAATTATTCCCTCCAAATTTCTTGCGATCCCTAGTTGAGATTTATGTTATTTCATGAGAAGTATTCTTATTCCACCCAGTCTCAACATGAGTACCTAATTTGATGGGCTAATTTGAAATATGTTAGTTGGCTAATTTTAAGTGGTATGGGGATAGAGCTGACTACATTGTGTACAATTGATACTGTAAGCTTGAGTATCAGGTACCTGCATCATTTTTATTAGTGGTACTTAACATCAATTACCTCATTGGTCTCATTTGTTTTGGAAAATTAGCAGAAACATTTAATTCCCAGATACTGTTTCAGCTTATCCTATCTTTCTCAATATCTATCCCCTTACCTCCACTCTTTGACTAATGACTAAAGGGAAATACATTTGCAAGACAAAAGTTAAGAATTCTTTTGCCGTTGTCGTTACAACTTTCCTCACCATCCGGTCCCAAAGCGCCACCCCATTTGATCAAGTCCTTCCCTACTCTTCCATTCAAAGCTCCCATAATTATTGGTATGCCTTTGCATATATCGATCTCATGCTGGACAGAGTCAAAAAATGCTTCCTTTTCAAGACTAGTGGCATTATCATTTGGTCTATATGCTATGAGTAGAGAGTATGAGACCCATCTGCTACATACTTCCACTCTCATGAGTCTGTCACTAACAGCATGCCACTCCACTCTTTCCATGTTCCACTGGATTGACTCCGGCATATAATAATATGTGTTCTTCTATCCTCTCTTCTCCTTTGCCTTTCTTCTTAGTCTCTGTTATCCCTAAGATGGCTATCCTCGCTCTTTTCTTCTCTTCGACCAATTCTACTTCTTTCCCATTTAAGCCTTTAACGTTCCATGTGCCCAATTGTGTGATCTGTTTTCCACACCGTGTCTGTTGCCATAAAATCTGATTGGCTCTATTTCTTTCTGTACTTTTCATTGTTGTTTTGCCTCGGAAGAGTGAGTTATGAACCCGTTGCTCCCAAAGCTAAATAGAAGGGCTGCTTCCTCAGAGCTGTCTGGCCAGCTCTCCCACTACTTCACAACGTAGATATAAAACTGCTACTACTGACTAGAGATGGTACTTTTTCAATAAGGTACACCCATTCTGGCTGCAGTGGGGACCCCCTCCTCCTTTACCAGGACTTGGGACCTGCAACTCCCCTCGAGAGGAAAGTTGGCTGAGTTATGTTTTTTTAAAATTTGTAAACATACTTTTGGTAATCGGTTGTCTTCCATTTCGTCTACTTTTCGGTGCCAGCGAATCATTCTATTAAGAATGCTTATTTTTAATGATTCTAGATCCATTTCTATACATACATAATGATTAGGAGTACTGCATGGCCAATGATAAATTGCTTTAAAATAACTCAAAGCAACGCCCTCTAATTTTTGACAGTATAATGGAGCCCAAACCTCCGCTGAATTTAAAAGAACGGAATTCACCATAGAATTTAACAATTTAAATTTCGTATCGAGAGAATCTGATCTTGACCTGAACAAGATTTCTCGAACTCTATATGAAGCCAACTGTGATTTTTAACAAAAGTATCTGCTGCCTAGAGAAATAAGCCCGGTGACGAAAAAAACACACTCCTGAATAATTATATTGTTTAATTGTTTCAATTTTGAAACTTTTGTAGAAGAGAGGTTTAACTTTATCTACAACCTTTTTTAAAGATCACACATTTTGTCTTGTCTACATTAACAATTAATGAATTTAATTGACAATATTTGTGCAGAGAAACTAATATCTTATTTGTTCAAACCCAACCATTGTTAAGTAAAACTAAATCATCCGCATATATCTGTCCGAATATTTCTGTTGTATGGTCAATATTTATTACTGTACACCCATCATTTTTAAAACGATACATTATATCTGAAATGAATAATTAAAATAATAAAGGACTTGAAGAATCTCCCTGCAATACTCCTTGGATGATTTTAAATGATTCAATGTTTAGTTGGTCCTTTAAAATTATTGTAGCATGTTTGTAAAATTCTAATAAAATATTTATTATTTTAGAACTCAGTCCGAGATTATGAAGCTTTGGCCACAATTTTGTGTAATGCAGTGAATCGAATTCCCGCTTGAAATCAACAAAAGTTGCAGATATTTTGTTGCCTTTGTAGCCCATTGAGATATTTATTGCCGAATTCAAAGTAAAAATACTGTCAATGCAGCCTCTTCTCTCCCTAAACCCATTCTGCTCTTCTGGAATCAACTTACGATCCTCTGCCCATTGAGTGATTTTATCAACTAGAATAATTGTAAACAGTTTAACAACATAATTTATCAGTACTATTTCCCTGTAATTAATGGGATCTTTAACATCTCCTTTTTTATATAAATGAAGTAGCAGAATTTCAGCCCATTTTTCGGAAACAATTGTATTTTGAAAAACATTATTAAACAAGTTAAGGAGGTAGTGGTCCCATTTTGGAGGCATTAGTTTATAAACTTCATACAGAAATTGATTACGGCAAAACTGCAACTTCGACCGTATTGGACCTATTAAAAAGTTTAATAGTTTTCCAAAACACTTTTACGTCTTTGACCTCTGATAATGAGTTTACAAGGCAATACAAAATTTTTTTTTAGCTTCAGTTACACATTGTTTCTATTGCTTTTTACTATTGATAAAAACATCAACATTTTCTTGTGAATAACCTTTACGCTTCAATGTTTTAAAACATTTCCTAAGATATTTTTTTGCTTCCTTGCACTCATTACCTAACCAGATTTTATCATTAAAAGTTTTACGGGGATAAACAAAGCGTTTTCATTTTAGAAGTCCATATAAATAGAATAGTCCATTTAAATAGAATAGTTAGATAGAAAATTGAGATATTGTAAAGTCGATCAAAATGTACTGACAGTTTATAATAGAATAAAAAGTTAAAACAGAGAAAAGGAATGTAAGGAAGGAGGAAAAAAAAAAAAGGAGAAGACTGAAATAAGACAGAAAACCAACCTGTTCCAAGAGATTGCTGGAATAGAGTGGAGATATGGTAGCAAGGGAGAGGGGAGATGTATTGTTGCGTCATCTCTGGCAATTGACTGACAAAGTTTGAGCTAAAGTACCGGAAGCGTAAATAATGGACGAGAGATATATTACTTATAACTATTATGAATAATTAAATGAAAGTTTAATTGAAAGGGGATGGAAATAATCTGGAGAAAGAATAAAACAGAGATAATAAATGTTAAGTAATAATGGAGAATATTTGAAATTAATATATATATATATATATATATATATAAATTTTAAATATTCTCCATTATTACTTGTTCCCCATATATTCTCCATTAGTACAATATTTGAAATTAATAAATATATATATATATATATATATATATATATATTTATTAATTTCAAATATTGTACTAATGGAGAATATATGGGGAACAAGTAATAATGGAATAGTTTAATTGAAAGGGGATGGAAATAATCTGGAGAAAGAATAAAACCGAGATAATAAATGTTGAGTAATAATGGGGAATATTTGAAATTAATATATATATATATATATATATATATATATATATATATATATATATATATATATATATATATATATATATGTATATATATATATTATACATATATACATGTATACATATATACATATATATATTATCGGTTTTATTCTTTCTCCAGATTATTTCCATCCCCTTTCAATTAAACTTTCATTTAATTATTCATAATATTTATAAGTAATATATCTCTCGTCCATTATTTACGCTTCCGGTACTTTATTACTATTAGTATTTACTATTAGTGTTTATGTTTCTCATACCTTGTTATCCAGTTCTTTTCTTAGCCCTGATGAAGGCCTGAACTTCAGGTCGTAACGTCGGCAATTGTTAAAATAAATATTATTATTTATTTTTGCCTTTTTATTTCTGATTGACCCCAACCATCCTCTTCATTAGAATTGAAACAAATGTTATTTGCATTTGAAACTAATACTTGATAGGAATTTATATTTTGTTCAACTAAATCTAAATAGTACTTTTCTGTTTTCCTCATCTCAATTTCTGCATTTTCCTTATTTAAATAGACAACCACGGGCAAATGACAACTTAGGGCAAACTTAAATGAATTCGATGATAGTCGGGAACATCCAAACAATATCTACAACACTACACCCTCTAGCTCTAATATCCATAAATTGACCAGGTGCATCGCTAGGTGTCCTACTATTCAATAATATTAATCCATATTATTCAAAATAAAACGTTTTTTACCTCTAGTGTTACGAGCATTATCTAAACTAGTTCTGTTACTGTACAAATATGAACCTTCTACTAGTAAATCATCAATTTCATCTCCTGAACCTAATCTTGCATTCCAGTCCCCACTCTGTACTATATTATATTGATTAATTTCATCCTTTGATTTAATTCTATTAAATAATTCCTCATCCAGAATGCAATCATTTATACTAACCAAAGGGCTCCAATTAACATTTCTAATGAAATAAGAAAAATAATTTATCTTAACTTTGATAAACAAACATATATCAGAAAAATCTAATAAAGTCACTTCCTCATAAAAATGTTTGTTTACCAAAGTTATGAGACCTCCACTGGGGGCGACCTTTCTTAAATTTTCGAGAAGCTACTGAAACAAATTCGTTATAATCCTTTAGCGAAGTTGGTTTATTAAATATTGGGTTAGTCATGAAAGTTTCGGAAAGTCAAAGATTACTAAATAAAAAATTGATAATCTCAGAATCTACATTAAATAACTTATTATAGGCTTCAATGTTAAGATAAACAATGCTAAATAAATTACCTTTAAATAAACAATTTTTTAAATTTAAGTTTCCTTCTACTGTTGTAAAATACTGTCCAATGACTTTTGAGAAGAGATAGCTTTCTTTACCACCACTTATACCTTCCTCTTCTACCTTAAAACACCATCTTTTCTACCCGTATCCGTTTCTGTTTCCATTTCTTCAACAGAATAATCCCTCTCCAAAGTGAAGTTGGTATATTCAGCACCTATTTTTTGGATATCTTCCTCTGTGCAAATAACAATTGTAGTAGTTCCATCATCTTGTCTAACTAGAACCAAAGTGAAGTTGGTATATTCAGCACCTATTTTTTGGATATCTTCCTCTGTGCAAATAACAATTGTAGTAGTTCCATCATCTTGTCTAACTAGAACTTATTCCTCGATTAGAAGAAATTATTCCTCGTCCATACATATTTTAGCTCATATTTCTCTTGATTAGACTTTTGTTTAAAAACCCAAGCACTTTAGGGAGATAACAGTTCTGATACAAATACCGGTAATGCTGGGGTTATGTTAAACAATTTTGTGTTAATCAATTTTTTCTTCAATCTATATAACTTAAGGAATTCAGTTTTATCAATATTTCTTAGGAATTTTACCACAATCGGCCCTTTACCTGAGTTGGTTTTTAGGATCAATGATTTATAATTGTTGCCACAATTAGTTCCAATGCGTTTTAATAAAAATTAAGAAAAAGAAACAAAATTGTTTAATTCTGTGCTTACTTTTAAATGAATATATTTTGAATAAATTTTAAAATATCTTTTAATTAAGTAATAATAAGCCTTACATTTATTTTGGATTTGTTGTTCTTATAGTGAGTTAACCTCACAGTACCATGTTAACTACTTCTGTTTGTATTTGTAATGAAATGAATTGTAACTTTTATGTAGGGACATACTATAATAATACTGTTCCATAGACTATGAGTACATATGTCTGGCTATATTTACAAAATAGTTATAAGTAATTGTTATAATAGATACTTGTCAAAGAAATAAGTATTGTTTAATAGATGCTATAGAGAAAGATTTAACCCTTTGCCGTGCACTAAAGTTCTTATAACTTCACCTGGCGCTAGTTGGACAACATGTTACATATTTTTTGTTTCATATCTCTAATGATGCTTATTGCCGATACTATTGTTAAAATTATTAGGTTCTCATTTACATGTATAAATAAAGTTTTTGTTCGTATATAGATATACTTATTAGATTATTATTATTAGGGAGATTGGTTGGCTGTAGTGGAGGAGGTCCAGGTTATTGGAGGACTGTAGTGCTATGATAATAATAATTATTAGGGTTTTGGTGGGCATATTTCGGGGTATTGATTTAAAATTCTGTTGATTTTACTCTGTTGATTTTTGACTGAAGTCAAATGAGAATTTTATGATAAACTAGAATGGACTTATGATAAATTATAGCATAATAGCATGAAAACAATTTTAGGAGACTCTAAAAATGGCAAGGAAGACATTTATTTTCCGATGATTGGTAAAGAAAGTTTGCACTGCTATGGTAATGATCATGGCTAATAAACTTTGTCACCTTGAAAAACATAATAATCAAAAGTATTATGTTAAAACATAAGGATATTAAAAAATATATTTAAACATTGGAATCAGGGTTCTTAAACCAGAAATAAAATTGTTTATATCTTGACAGAACATAGATGGCAAAATAGTATAATTTATGTGAGATATTATCATGGGACAGAATTTGGGTCCAATCTAGGACAAAAATTTCATGTAAAAAGAGAAAATAAAACTGTTTCTGTTAAAAAATTTTAGTCTAGAGAAATTAAAAATTCTGTCATATAGAAATAAATTTTGAGCTTGAAGTCAAGAGAAAGTTTAAAACTTTAGAATTTTTTGACATGAATTACAAAGATATAGACAATTATTGCTAGGGATCAGAGATAATATAATTTTATCTCAGAATAGGGAATATAAAAAGAACAAACCATGGTTCAATGAAGATTATCTAATCACAAAAAAAACTTAAATTAAAAACTCTCAATAATCCTAGCTTAAACAATATACCTCACTTCCACCACCTTTTAAAGAATGAAATTACTAAATTGCTCAAATGAGTATATTGACAACAAAGCAATAGAAATAGAATCCAAAATAATATAAGAGACTTATACAAAGGTATAATCTTTAAATTCAAGTGATTACCAAGCTACGTGATGAACAGATCACATAAATATTTGGGACTCATAATGACTGGAATTAAAGATGAAAACAAAAAAATGCTGACTGGTTTGCCAAACATATTGAGTAAGTTTAAGAAACATTTTGACAATATTTTCAGTACAGAAAATAATGATCTGTCCTCTTTTTCTAAGTATCTGAATGCTAAACCGTTAATAGAAGAACTGTGTAAAGAGGAAGTCGAAATAGCAATTTTCAATTTTAATTTAGCAATTTTAATTATCAATCGAAAATTAAAATCTCATAAACCAGCAGGAGGAAATAATAATATTCCTAGTGAAGAGGTAGAGAAGCTGCCATTTCTAAAATACATCATTTGGTTCAAATGATCTGGAAGAAATGAGAAAATGTTTGAAGAATGGAAAGAATTTATTTTTATTCCATTTCACTAAGACAGTCTGAGTAAATAAATACTAAATTATACAAATAGTATTATTTAATTTTTGCCGACGTTTCGACCCACTTTGCAGGTCTTCATCAAGTTTACAAAAGAGGGGGGCGGGGTGGCCGAATGGGCTAAAGCGTGTGCACAGCATCGCGAGTTGCCCGGCAACGAGATATAAGAAGTTTTGAGAGACAAAAATAAGTACATGTTCGCCTCCTGGTGCCGGAGGGAATTTTAAATACCCCACCTTCACCCTCGGGCCCGAGGAAATCCCGTATATCCTTAACAAAAAATAAAAAAAGTCTACAAAAGATACAAAACATGGTGAAAATAAAATAAATAAATATTAGTAGATATAAAATAAGAAGAAGTTGTCTGATAAAGAAATAAAAAGATAATATCAGAGATATAGTGAGTGACAATGTAGTTAATGTAATAGGCAAATAGACAATGTAATAGGCTTTTTCTCAACTGCTTCTTATTTTATATCTCATAATATATCTACTGTCAACCATCTCTACATCATTATATCTACTTATATTCATTTCTTTTATTTTCACCATGTTTTGTATCTTTTGTAGCCCTGATGAAGACCTGTAAAGTGGGTCGAAACGTCAGAAAAAATTAAATAATACTATTTGTATAATTTAGTATTTATTTGTAAACCTCCCTCCCCGATCAAATCCTTCTCATGAATATAAGAACATTGATAAAACACAAAATATATGGTAAGCTGTAGAAATGGTGATAATTATAGTGATTATATATATATATATATATATATATATATATATATATATATATATATATATATATATATATATATATATATATATATATAGTGGCCTCACATGACAGACAGACAGTTGTCATTCCCATAAAGTTGAGAAAAAGTCAATTTTTGGTTTATTATTTTCAATAATGAACCATTGTAATAAAAAAAAATATTCAAAAACTTAACCCCCTCTCAAAATTTGAAGTTTTATGTTTCAGGATACATAGAATTCGAAAAACGAATACAAATTTTTTTGTCCGTATGGCGGCCGAAAAACCTGCGTTGCTATGGACTATAGTGCCTAAACGAATTTACCAATTTGCAGATATATATATATATATATATATTTATATTCACTCACACACACACACACACACACACACATATATATGTATACATATGTGAAAGAAAAAAAAAAAATATACATATCAGAGTGGCCTCATATCAAAGACTGACATCTGTCATTTTTAAAAAGAAAAAGTTGAGAAAAAGCAAATTTATATATATATATATATATATTAGAGGTTGCAGGAATAATAGAGATTTGTTGAAAGAATCAGTTTTATGAAAGGAAGTATACATATCAGTAGGTTGGAACATTATATTCAAAGAGTGGTAAAATGAATGCTTGATGAGTGAGCAAAACAAGAATATTGGTGGGATTTAGGCATTGATAGAAACGACAACGAGAATGAATTGCCATCAAAAGGCATTATAAAGCAAACTTGTTTCGGCAAGACATACATTTGAGCTTTCTGTGGATTCTGAAGATGTCTCTAATTTTTTAGCAATGCTTTTGTTTCTTCACTCTTATCTCAAGGTTACATGACAGCCCACTGTAGGCTATGCTCTCAAAGCAGAATGTTTTCAATCTTTCTATCGTGGTTCCTTAAAAAACTCAAATGATGTTTTTCCTTAAGTGAAACTAGAAACTACCTTAACTCTTTTGTAAATTTAGTAATTTCATTGACTACTTCTACTTGATTGCCATTTGAAACTGCAAGTGATCCTAAAATTGTGTTTCTCAGTGAAACAACAGATGAAGGTAGTTAGGTACTGCTCATGGTAAATTCACTACGCAAATGTTGTGTGCTAGAAGAAGGCAACAGAAAACTCAACAATTTGACAAACATCCTTGGAAATTGATAAGAATAATTGTTGTCTTCTTTATGCTCTGTTGCAACAAATGGCCTGCTGTCCATGAGTCAATGCTATTAATTCCATCATGCAACTTGACTCCTGATGCATGTCGGTAAGAAGGACAACTAGGTTAATTTGAAGTTTATTTGCTAATAAATGATATTTTGAATGGTGGATAAAGTCAAGTAGATCAATAATATACTTACAGAAAAAGTTTTATATCATTTTTTTTGTTCCCTGTGTGTTTTTTTATTGCAATTATATTTGCAAATATATGTTTTCTTCTGGCACTAATAGAGTTAATCATTATTTGCCTAGGTTCTGACAACCAAGTTGCTATTTGGAATGTTGGGACTGGAGAAATTTTAGTTCATATAGATTGCCATCCTGATATAGTTTATAGTGCTTGTTGGAATTGGGATGGTTCACAGCTATTAACTACATGCAAGGACAAAAAAATGAGGATAATTAATCCAAGAACGGGCAAAGTTGAAGAAGTATGTTTTTATTTTTATTTTTAGTGGTGTGAATTAATTACTTAGTATTATTATTTTTTTTTATTATTTCATTTTTTAAGGAAGCAATTTGCCATGAAGGAAGTAAAGCTACAAGAGCAATTTATTTAAAAAGTGGTTTGATTTTCACCACTGGATTCAGCAAAATGTCTGAGAGACAATACTCTCTGCGTGCTCCTGAGCATCTTACTGAGCCAATAGTTATAGTTGAGCTTGACACAAGTAATGGAGTCATGTTTCCCTTGTATGACCCTGACACGAACTTGGTTTATCTTTGTGGAAAGGTTTGTATTATTTTTCATTTAATTTAATGTCTATATTTTCTTGATTGTTTTTCGGTATCATTAGTGCATATTTTCAATTTTCATTTTAATGTTTCTTTTGATTAATATAAATAATGAGAAGAGGAGGCTGCACACGTGGATTCACCGATTTCAATGAAACTTGGTGATACTGGATCGAAAAATATTAGACGTATGTTAGTGTTCTTGCGAATTTGTTCTAGGATCCGGGGAAAAAATTATTTTATATAATTTTATTATTTTTTTATATTACTGGTTTCTGATTTTGCACTGCATGGATTTCTAAGTTATTATTTATCATTTTTATTTATTTTTTTTTTTTTGTGTAAGATAAAAAAAATGATTGCTAGTTGCATTAAACAAATCCTAATTGATAATGAATTTACTAAACCCATTAAAGTAGTGTATTTGCAGTGATGTAAGCCAAGTAAGTTTTTATAATAAAAATATGATCCATATTCATTTTTAGTGTCTTTTAAAACTCTTAAATACGAATTTGTTTTGAAATAAAAGAATATAAATTTTTGGACTTAATTTTAGGGCAAGATTTTTTTTTCATGCCGTTTACTAAAATATTCATAACTACCCAGGATTTTCTTCTAAGTCAACATTACTACAACCACTGGAAAGCTAATGTCTTTAAAGAAAGAAAAACTCCAAACATTTCTATTTTTTATCTTCAAGCCTAATTTATTTGCTAGCCTCTAGTTTGTGCCATTTTGTGTATTTTTTAGGGCTCTAAATTTATGCTAAGTTTTGTGTGGATTGGTGGAGTCATGTTAAAAGTTATCACAATTTTTTTGATTTTCTAGCAAACAATTCTGATTTCTAATTTTGAGCAAACAATTTTTTTTTTTTCGATTACTATAAAGTTCGTATTTAAGAATTTTTAGAGATGAAAAATTTGTTTCTCTTTTCCTAAACTTTGTTTCTCCTTAAAAAAAAAATGAACTCACTTTACTCCAGCAGTCAGTACTAATTGTTTTAATATTTTAATCATACTAAATCTGTATGCCAAGTATATTTTTTTTTTTCTAAACCGGGCAGGTATCTAAAGTAAGATTACATGCACAAAATCTGGTATGTTGTCGAGATTTGGTCCGAAAATAATAATTTGCATTGTACATATTATGCCATCGAATATATTTTTTGAGATAAATAAAGATGATATTCGTTTTTCGCATCACTAAAAACCCTTAAATAAGAATTTTCAAAATAAAAAAATGTAATATTTCGCTCAATATTTTTCAGAATGTTAATAGCTGTTGTGAGATTCTTCTATGTTTATAGCTTTATAGTAGATTAATTGAAATTTGTAGACATATTGAAATATTTATATATATGCTATTTATTTTTCATTTTCAATGAAAATATCCTCAATATTTGAGTATATTTAACATTTGTAATATCTACTATTAAGACCTTTGACTGACAAGGCCATTTCTATTTTCTCCTCCATGGATTGAAAGGAGTTATCAGGAGACTTACTCTAAATATAAGCATACTGGTTTAGGTGAAGGGACTTGAGTGGTGATAACACGCTTGTTAGGTGTATTGCTACCAAGTCTGTCAGGATTTTAAAAAGAAATGAGGATAGATTAATAGGCTGAAATGCTTTTGCGACCCTATAGTCTTTCTTACTATTCTTCAGAATAAAGGCTATTGATGACTTCTTCCATGATTCGGGTATGTTTCCTAATGTGAGAGAGACTGTAAAAGATACTTTTATATGAGGGAGCAAAACATTAAGTCTCTCTTGGAGCATACATGAGAGAATACTATCTATTCCTATGGCCTTACACTGTTCGAGTTCCCTAACTGTCCATGTCATGGCTGTGTCGGTGACAATTATCTCCACTAGTGCCCAATCCTCTTGTTGCATAAGAGCCTCTCTGCAAGGGTCCATGGTAGTATAGTTGTCTGAATCAGTAGGCTTACAACCTGGGAAATAAATCTCCGAAAGGTGAGATAAAGTATCCTCAGAACTGGAGGTCCATGATCCATTTGGTTTCTGCTGAGTACCTAATGGCTGATGAGAAAGAGCAGCCACCTTTTCCCAATAAGAAGTGCCAGTTCCTGTACTATCCTAGCCACCAAGGTGTGCTATCCCTCATTTTTTTTCCTTTGTACCATCTAGAGCAAGGGGGAATTTCAGCATCAGGGAATTTGGCCAGGATCGATTGTAAGGACCTTAGTGATTCATTGTTCTATTGGGTGCGGTAATGAGCAGTGCACCTCCAGTTGCTAACCTGGCACTAAGTGTCAGGAAGGGAATTAATCTCTACTACTCTATCCAGAGTGGTATCCTAGAGCATGTCCCACTAAGGTGTGTACTATAATTGACCTTTATATGTGTGAATGTTGTCGCAGTGTACTGTGTGGTATCAGAGAAGTTTTTCTCCAGCCTGGAGGACAAGTGGCTAGTTGCAGCCTGACAAATGGGTGATGAAGTCGCTGAATCTTTATGTCCTAACAATAGTATAATTAAAATTTAATGAGACATTTTAAGAGTATAGGTTTGAATTATGTTTGGAAAACAATTATAATAAACACCTTTATTGTTTTTATATTCGTATTTTTTATCTATTGTCAATTCTGTATTTGATTTTAGCATTATTGTTCCAGGGTGATAGCGTTATTAGATATTTCGAAATAACTGCAGAACCACCTTTTGTGCATTATATTAATACCTTTCAAACTCCAGATCCTCAAAGAGGAATAGGATCTATGCCAAAAAGAGGTTGTGATGTATCATCTTGTGAAATATCCCGTTTTTACAGATTAAATAATTCTGGACTATGTCAGGTTATATCTATGACTGTTCCTCGAAAAGTAAGTCAATTTTTTAAAATACTTATTATGACAACAAGCTTATTTATAAAATCAAAACAAAGTGACTCTTTGCTGGATAAATGTTTTTGTTTCATCGTATTTGGTTACACTGTTTGGATTTCTAACATTTATTCATAGAGGTTATTAGTTTTTATTTACATTATATATGAACTGGGCGTTTTGGAAGATTACAATCTTATCAGTCCCTCAATGTTCAATCACTAGCAGATCCAGCTGTGGGGTGCGGGGGACGGCCTCCCCCTTTCCTGGAAGGTGGAAAAAAATTCCAAAAAAGTTCCAAATAGCAGCTATTTAAAGAAAAAAGAAATATAGGGAAAAATTCGTCCTCATAGACGAATTGCCTAATGTAATATAAAAAAAAGTTATTATCGTAACCAGCACTAGCGAATTCTGAATGGGGGTGCACGCGCCCTTGGATGGTGGAAAAATAATTCCAAAAACAGCTATTTAAAGAAAAGAGAAATATAGCAAATATTCATCCTCTAAGACGAATTTCTAATGTGATATAAAAAAATTATGATCGTGATCAGTACTAGCGTATCCAGCCGGGGGGTGCGCCCCTCTCTCTCCTGGACGGTGGGAAAAAAAGTTCCAAAAAACAGCTATTTAAAGAAAAAATAAATATAGAGAATATTTATCCTCATAGATAAATTTTCCAATGTAATATAAAAAAAAAAATTATTATCGTGATCAATACTAGTCCAATAGATCTGGATGCATTGCAACCTCCAGCAACTATAGTTTCCTTGAAAAATCCATGCAATTTATACAACTGGTCACGTAACATAATTTGTATGTTTCTCATTAGAAAATGTTTTTTTTTTCTTGAAATAGCTGCTATTGGTAACTTCTTCATGAAGGAAGGTTCTAATTATTTGGTCTCCGATGTGATCGGAATTGGAATTTATTCTGAGTTTTATTTCTTAAGGAACTCATCTCCAAGCTGCAGGGCCATTTATAGTAGTCTGTCTCAGTTGTTGACAAATTTGGTAAAAATTAGTGTTCGTTGACCGTGGTTATCGACCATATCACATAGTCAAATTATTAAGTTTAGGTACTTGTTCGACGCACAATTTAACGTTCTTTAATTTCTTAAATGATGCATTTTTCCCTTCGATGCATTGTTTAGTAGTAATAGATAAAAAAAAAGATCCGATAAATCTGGCCTTTTTTAATTTAAGTAATTAACGATTGCTGCACTGTAAATTAAACAAAATTTACTTTAAATAAAAATAGAGCTTGCTATTGTTAAAACCATTTAAAGAGGACTTTTGAGCTACTAAACTCAGCTAAGGAGTGAGGGGAGATAGTAGTGGTGGGGGGACAGGTAGGGGTGGGGAAGCACCCGGTACTGAGGTGCGCCTCCTGAGAAAATTCCTGGATCCGCCACTGAGTTCAATAACCATCAATGGAAGTTTTACCAACTTCAAATATCTTTATAATAAAATTAGCTCATAATGTTAAATAAAAACACAAAACATTAAATTTATTAGTTGTTACCTTCATTGTAATTGATAACTTATAAATTTTAATTGCAAAATAAAAACTCATTTTTTCTATTTAGGAATACAGTTATGCTTGGTTCCCCCAATTAAAAATATCTGCTTAAACTTATTTTTAAAAAGTCAGATAAATATTGTGAAACAGTCATTGTGTAGCTTTATTTTGCCGATCTAACAAGTGCAGATTTTCAGGTATCTGAATATCTAGATCTTAGGTCTTAGAGATTGAAATTTAATGCAGATGTATTTTAATAGAAGGAGAAAGTATTATAATCTAAACACTTGTTAGTGTAATTATTTTTTTAATTAAATGAAAAATTAATCTAGGAAGTACAACGCTGGACCATCTCTTCCTTTATTATAATCACGGTCAACCATTAAGTATCTAATAAGCAGAATTAATATTTATTCTCAGACTTTTAGTCCTTTATGAATAGCAAAAGATATAATTTAAGAAGGATTTGTCTAGCTTTATTGGTAATAATATTAATACATATTTGCTTTGGTATCCACAACATTGGATCAAATATAAATAAACTCTTTTTAAATCTTACTACTTATTAGAGTTTAAAAATAATTATTTCTTTTTTTTATCCTTATTTTAGAGTGAACTTTTTCAAGAAGACTTATATCCTGATACCATTGGAGACACTGCAGCGCTTACTGCTGATGAGTGGGTGGGTGGTAAAGATTGTGAACCTATTTTGGTATCCCTCAGAGGAGGTTATGTACCTTCATCAGCTCCCAAAACTGAGCTACGTGTATCCAAAAAGGCTAACATATTAGATAAAAAAGGTGTGAGAAAGCAAAATAATTCAGAAGATATGGCAGCGGTAAGTACTTTTTGTGGAACTACAATTCTCAGTTTGGCTCCTAGTTAGTTGATTTTTAGCAACATAGGAAGCAACATAGCAATTTCATATATAACTAACTACATTGAAGGACCAAGTAATCCTTCTTAGTCTTTATAAAAGTATATTGATTATAATAACTGTAATATGTATAATTAATTAATAAAAATACCTTTAGAACAAACGTAGGTGTGCTTTATTATTTATTACAAAATATACCATCTGTCTTGTCTTTATCTAACTAACATGTGTAATCGATTATATTATAATTTATAAATAGAGGTTACAGTCTTATACTACACCCTTCCCTTAATCCTCACAAAGTCTTTTTGGTGGCTTCACCAAGCGGCCCGATCTGGTGCGCATACCTTCACTAGTTGGAGATGCTTGCTGAGCTTGATCATTGGAAATTGACAGTCCTGGTAACAGCAGGGAAGAACCATTCTGCGGGGGACGCGGAGATTGTCTCTGTTCCTCCTGAAATAAAGCATTGGAGGGTTGGAGTAGAGGATCAGAATCAGAATCAGTTGGGTTGAGTAGAGGATCAGTGTTAGGTGTGGTGAGGCGTCTTAAGTGGGATGAGTTTCTTCTATATTCGTTGTCATATTGGTCTCTGACCAAGTATGATCTTGGTTCAGGGAGAACCTTTGTAATAGATCCTTCTTTCCATCGATCCTTCCATTTAACATAAACTGGTTGTCCCATCTTGAACTCCTCTGATTGACGAGAAGTTGAGTCATAATATTTTTTACTTTTGAATTTTAGAAGCTCCATTCTTTGGCGCACATCATCGTCTGGTATTTTGGGAATAAGAAGATCAATGCTTGCTGGCGCCCTGGTTCGCAGTCTTCGACCCATCAACAGTTGGCTTGGAGAATACTCGAGCCCAGAAAGGGGAGTTGTTCGGTATTCTAGAATGGCTTCATAAATGTCTCCTCCTGAATAAGAGACTTTCTTTATCATTTTCTTCGCGACACCTATCCCTTTCTCCGAGAGACCATTAGATCTAGGGTAGTGAGGACTAGATGTACAAATTTTAAATCCCCAATGTTTGGCAAAAGCTGCCATTTCTGCACTACTGAACGGGTTGTTATCACAACGTACAATTTCAGGCGTGCCATGATTACTAAAAAGAATTTTTAGTTTTTTGATAATTTCAGTGGATGTTTTATTCTTGAGCGGTATAATATCCAACCATCTTGAGTAGTAATCTTCTACAGCCAGAAAAATTTTCGAATTATACTCGCCTATGTCCATACCAATAACTTGAAACGGAAATTTAGGAATTTCATATGTTATAAGAGGTTCTTTAGGTTTATTGTTTTGGAAGGTTTGACACGTGGAACAAGAATTTATGAAGTTTGTAATGTATTCGGACATGTTTGGCCAATACATGAGGCTCTTAATACGGGAAACGGTTTTGTTTATTCCAAGATGAGCTTTAGAATGAATTTGGCTTACGAAGTGACGTCGGAGACTCGGTGGTATAATAATTCTGTCATTATAAAATAAAATTCCTTTATTTTCTGAAAGTTCGTCTCGGAGCCCATAAAAAGCCTTTATTTCACGTTCCAAACACTTTTTATGAACTCCTTCCCAAGCATTCCTGATACAATTTCTAAGTTCACTGAAATCATCCCTGGTGGCTTCTTGCAAGATTTTTATATCCTCTGATGGCACCGGCAACAATTCTTCTTTTTATAATTAGCCTCTAAAATAGTTTTCCCCAAAGGTTTAGAGATAAAGCCTCCAAATGACTTAACCTTCATTGAAGTTTTAGTCAATTTACCATCAAGTTCTATTTTATTCCAAATTTTACTGGGCAAAATATTAATATCACTAGCCGTATCCAGCTTAAAAAGTACGGGTACATTATTAATATAAATATATTCCTTCCATAGATCTGACTTAATAGCATTCACATCAGTAATAACGTTACAATCAAACATTGACTCGGACGATGAGTCTTCTTCAACCTCATTCACTGCAGTTCTCTTTTTTCGTGAGATGCACCCGATTTTAAAATGACCTAACCTCCCACATAAAAAACATTTTTTACCAAATGCTGGGCAATCTCTTGGTCCGTGAGTGGTACGGCATTTTTTACATTTATATTCAGTCTCTTTATCAGTCTTAGTACGTCTGGATGTAAAAGGTTTGTTTTTATTAACCATATTGGTATAGTTAACATTAACATCACCTAACGTGCCTTCTCCAACCATTTCCTTGCTATAAGATTGACTTATTTCTGCTGCTCGACAAATTTGCGTCACCTCCTGCAATGTTAGCGTTTTGGTCTCCTTAATCAATACTTTTTGAACTTCTGGGTCATTATGGTTACGCACTATATGGTCAATTAGCATTCTATCCGCGAATGAAGTTTTACAATCGGCTTTAGAGCACACGAAATTGCAGTTGAGTGCTTGACTTTTTAGCTCAGTTAAATAATTATCAAATGTTTGTCCTGGGGAATGTTTTATCTTATTGAATTTAAAGGACTCCATTGCCAAATTTACTTTAGGAATACAATACTCATCAAATAATTTTAAAACAGCTTCTAAAGTATCTTTCTTACCTTGGAATGTAGAATGTATTTCTATGGCTTCCTCACCCATTTGTGTTAATAGAAGAGCTATTTTCAATTCCTCATCTGTTGATTTATACTTCTCTATAGCCTTTAAATAGAGAATGAAGGCCTGTTTCCATTTTGGCCACTTCGTTGCAATGTTCTTGTCAAATTGAAGAGATTGCAGCCGCAAATTAGAATTATTCATTTTCAATTTGTTGGTATTTCACCTGACACCATGTAATATGTATAATTAATTAATAAAAATACCTTTAGAACAAACGTAGGTGTGCTTTATTATTTATTACAAAATATACCATCTGTCTTGTCTTTATCTAACTAACATGTGTAATCGATTATATTATAATTTATAAATAGAGGTTACAGTCTTATACTACAATAACCATGGTCACTTTATCCACATCAGGTTATTTATAATGACTGAGGTTGTTATATGCAGAACAAAATTACAATTTGGCACTGCAAAAATTAAGTAAAATTGTCTTAAAGGAATGTATTATTTGATAAAAAAAATAGAGTTCTTATAAATATTATTTACTACATATTCAAGTACAATGTATATATATATATTACTCAGTCATACATTTCGGAATAGTCTCTTAGGTGTCTTCATAGATCTATGATAAGGTAGGTTTGCAGTTGATAATTGAAGAGATTGCCTAATGTGAAAGTTTGGTTCTGTCTCTTTATTAACACTTTAGTGGCTGCTCACACACATGTGAGAGTGGCTACTAAAGTGCTAAAATACTAATTCATGTAAAAATGCAACTGTGATAGACATGAAAATATCCAAAAATGTAATGTTTACAGAACATGAGGATGTAATGATTGATTTTCTAGTAATGTGATGTTTGCACAATTAACTGTCATTATAATAGTTATGTTATTTTTTTTAAATTATAGTTTTTTATGTTTTCTTATTTAATACTGTCACTCTAATACTTAAGGCATTATTGAATGAATTTAGACTCATTTCAAAGTGATTCGGATTTTCTACAATGTTTACATCAATTATTTAAAAAAAAATTCTTCCTTCAAAGACATTAGAATTTAAATGTGAAAACCATATTGTAAATGGTATCCTCTGTATGCATAAGATAAAGCAAGTGTTTAATATATAATCCTATTTAAATTTCATTCTTTATTGGGATCCATGGTAAAATTATTCTGTTTCATTAGGAATTCCAGATTTAGATTCTTTAAAGCGATAATCAGATAGTATAGGTAGTCAGCAATATGCCTCTAACTAATTTCAGCTTACCCAATTTTGTTCTGAGATTCTAAACATGAAAAATTGGGATTCAGATTATATATAGCACCTTGTATATTCAAAATTTGGTTTTATCTGCAAATAATTTTTGTTTGATAAATTAAAGCTTTAGAAATTTGAGAGGGTATGAAAAAGATTGAACATAGTTATAATTTGTCAGGCAGAGTGGGAAGAGGGTCAACAATCACATGCTATGTTGGTGTAATATTTATTTTTAGCCTACATTTCAACCTATGTTGTAGGTTTTCATCAGGACTAAAAAGAACAAGATATATAAAAAAAAAATACTATTATGAGGTGCAAGGTAATTTTTTTCCCATCTTTTAATAAATCAGTGTATCAAACTGAATCTAATATTATTCGTCATTTGGTAGAGCTGACCTAAAATTTGAATTCATTGTTGTTCTTTTAAGCGAAACATATATATTTTCATTTATCATATTGAAATTCCTTAGAAATTAATAATCTGAAATTAACTAAAATTTTGAACTATATTAATTATTCTAAATATTTGTGTATATCCCTTTTTTTAATTTAATTTAATTTAATTTATTTATTTTTAGAGTGAACTAATAATTAAAGAATTCAGAGAAGAAATTCGTAAACTAAAAGCCATGATTGTTAAACACGAAAATAGAATTCGAGCTCTAGAAGAACATGTTAATAAAGATCACAAAATTGAAAATACCAAAATTATTGAAAGTGATAATAAAATAGAATCAAGTTGTCCCATTCAAGAACCTGTTAACCCTGCCACAGATCTAGCTCCAGACGAAGTATAGCAAAGGTAACATTTTTTTATTTAATGTAAAGAGAGAAAAATGAAATAGTTTTTATTTTAATGGTGTTTATGAATTCACAAATGATTAAATTTTACCTTATTAAGTATTTAAATGTCCTCAATTGAAAACAAATCTAATAAAATTATATACTTGGGTTTTTAAGTTTGCAGATAGAAAGATAATTTCAATTCTTAAAAAATATTTAAGTCTTGATTGAAGACTTTAAGTTTATTATTTATTTACAAAAAATCTTAGTTCATCTGTTTTAAAATAAATAAAAATGATAATTTTTGTGATAAACTCATGTTTATTCTTTTACTTCTACCTTTAAGTTAATGATGACTTAGTATGAACCCGTTTATGATTTTTCAAAGATTGAGTGAAAATAAGGAGAACATATTTTTTTATCTCGTTATGTTGTTTACATGGTATAAATGCTACCCACTTAGCACTACAATTTATGTGGTGGACATCTATAATATTTACCATTAAAAACTTGAATGATAAAAAAAAAATTGTTGATAAATTTGTTATTTAGGGCATTGATGCATAAAACCCCGATGTCATCAACGCCTATTTAATCTTTATTTCAATAATAAATTATTATGGAAATGGAAAGGTTTTATACATATAAGTAAAATTTTGATCAATTATTTAATAACAAGAAATTTAGTTTCAAGAAAATTTCTTACCCCTTCCTTGTTTTAACTTCATCATTATTTAAAATAACTGATACTTTTGGTTTAAGTCCTAGTTTTGTTAGAATAGATGTATAATAAGGACACTCATGGAGAATGTGGAGCCTACTCTTTACTCCCTTTTTGCATTTTCTGATGACCTCGTCATATTGGCCCAGAATGACTGTGGCCTTCAAAACAATACTAATACCCTCAAGTATAAACTGAAAGCAATTATTATGAAAGCCGGCCCTGAGAAAATTAAATGTATGTGCATTGGAAGGAAACCTCACAGAGTTTTGAGAGTTATGGGGGCGTGGTGGCCGAGCGGGCTAATGGTGCACAGCACCTTGCGTTGCCCGGGCAATCTGATAACCAAATTTTTAGATAAAAAATAATTAAGAGTTCAAATCCTGGTGCCCTGTGGGACTTTTAACTCGGTATGATGATTCCCTGGTCTAGGAAAAACCCCTTGTAGCCTAAAAGGCAAGGAAAGGAGACAAAAAAAAGTATTAAGGGTGGACTGTGAGCTGGTAGAAAGTTAGAAAGTTAAATACTTGTGTGCTTAACTCAACGAAATTGGATTTATTGATGAGGAGGTGAGGCAACAACTAAAGATAGCAGGAAGAATGTCCTGCTTGGTGAGGAGAGCTTTCCTAAACTGAAGAGAGATTACAAAAAAACGAAGATGGTAGTATATAGATTGGTGTTCCTTTCTCCTCTAACATATTCTTCTGAGTTTTGGACACTCACTTTAAAGCACAAGAATCAAATCCAGACCCTAAAGAAGTGATACCTGTGAAAGGTGGAGGAGAGAAGACCAGATGATAAAGAATTGGCAACACTACCATCCTATTCCAACGAGTTCAAGCCGGCGTAACCCATGCTAGAAGAAAAAGATTTTTTAGATGAAGGCATAAAAAGATGGTTTGGCCACCTTCTCAGGATGGATTAGTGCAATCACAAGGGAGCCCTATGAGACTTGCATGCAAGGGAGAAGACCGAGAGGAATACTTAAAAACTCAAGGAAAGAAAGCGTGTGAGTGTGAGATACGTTTCAGAAGCGAGGGATGGAATGGAACAGGAGACGAGAGCTGGTGCAGGAGAGTTCCACCTGGTCCAAGCTCTACTAAAGGCAGCCTTACAGTGCTTAAGCGGTAAAGAGGAAATAGAATATGATGATGATGATGAAAATCTGACATCGTATGTTTCAAGTTAATTATGTTATCAACATTATATAAAGAAATCCAAAAATCATGTATCAAAACAAATTTTTTATGTTTTGGGTTTTAAGTCGCAGTTCATCTCATAATAATTCTTGCAACTCAACATTGCCATATTTTGATTCATATTCATTATCATGTTACCATTTGTTTCAAAATGGCGGGCAAATGAAAGTTTCAAATGAAATTAGTGATATTTTAACTCTAAGATTGTTAATATTACTATTTTTGATACAGGCTTTTTATCCTTTTTCATCCTCAAAATTGTTGGTTAAGTTTATTTCCTTTTAGGGATTTGACATTCCACCAAAATTTCTTCTTATTGCCGCTTTATTCACCTTCCAGAGATTTCCCGAAGTCCTCCTATTGCCTTCTTTCTCTCACTATCCTTTAGTATTCATTACTTTGGAATCTAAAGACCTCCAGGTCCTCACTAATAATCTAATAGTTTAAGATTTCCAATATAATAAAGATTATTTCTGGGTAAAAGACCTATTACATTGAATAATTTTAAAATATCTCTAATATGTTAGCTAAAAGTCTTATCGAAAAAACAAAAATTTTTACATCTTTTATTGTAAAAATATTAAATCAAATATGCATAATCGTAGATTTAAAAAACAAAACAAGAAAGATAAAGATGGTGATACATTTGCAGAAATATTAATCGGAAATATAAAACTTGTTAAAATATATGTTGTATAACATTAGTATATGTGACAGAATATATATATATATATATATATATATATATATATATATATATATATAATACATCATACAGTCGTATTATCTACTCTGTATATTACAAGAATTTCTTGCTTTTCAAGTTATTTCACTTATTTATTTTTATTACTATTTTTTTTTTCTTTTAAGATTTAATTTTTATTAAAATTAGAGTATTCTCTTCATTGATATAATACAATTATCTTTACATTGTGAAACTACTCTTTCCAAATCTGTGTAAAAATCTGCTTGTCCACAACCATCTAATCCTGTGTTCAATTCTTGAATGAAGTATTTATATATCAAAATTATGTGAATCCAAAACCTATTTTCTCATTAGTGATTAGCCCTACAAAGAGGCCTGTTACCCATGGAAAAGAGTCCCAATGTTAATCAGGAATTGGGATCATTGGATTGATTGTCTTAACCATGGCGAGGAGCTCTCTCTCTGCCCCTTTGTAGTGGGTTATCCATATTGAGCTCACAAGTGCTGCTGTTATTGTTGAATACATGTCAATCCCCTCCCCCCCCACCTATAGATTATACCAGGTAATCCTACCTAGACTCTTTCTGATTAGCACATTTACCCACCTCTCCATAGGGATTGGTTACCATCACCTCAGGCAGGATTGCTGGGCTTTACAGGATTCACTAATGGGTGGTTGTGGTTGGAAGTGAAAGGGAAAGGCAATTTTTGGCCATGTGTGATGCATCACCCACCTTAGGCCCTTACTTTATTTATAAAATTCAAAATTAATTAATATTTCTATTTTTTTTTGTTTCATACCTGCATTATTTTGAGTAATTTATGTTTTAAATTTATGTTTCAGGAATTACTGAAACAAGCCAGTGACTGCTACATGTTCTTATTGTTTTTCAATTTAAACTTTTGTTTCTAGAAGTGTGGGTTATTATTGTATGTTTGCCAGAATACTTAATTCTTCTTTCAATACTTTTTAGTATTGATACTAAATTCTAAATTTTAATGTTCTACAACTCTATGTAGAAAAGTTTTCTGTGCATTTTTTAACATACTATGACGTTCTGTTTGCATTGTTACCATGATTTAATGGCTTAAGTACAAGAGACTGAAGAAGTATTAATTTAAAAAAATGTATGAATTGTATTGAAAACATATTTATATATATGCTGTAATGGTTCATGTATTTAAGAAATACGCACATTCATACATTTTAAAATATGTTATTTATATAGTAGATAATATTGAATAAAATATGATATTATTCATCTCATCGACACAAATATATGTATATGTACAAATTTATTTTTAAAAATCTTTTAATATCCTCTTAAAAAGGGAGGAATTGTTGCCAAAACAAAGTAGAAATTCTTATATTAGAGCTAATCTTTGGTTTGTTGGTTCTGTGAGAGACTATGTTACTATAAGCAATATATCTGTTTAATTTGTGTCACGGTCCATACGCATACTTACACAAGTGCATGTATACATATGAAGTTTATCCATTTCTTTTTTGCTTAAAATTATTTATATTAGTAAATATTTTCTGGTATTTTCTTAGTATGAAATTAACCTGCAGACATTCAATTTTAACCCACAGATATTTTGTTTATATGTTCTGTTAATGTATATATTTAAGCTCACATAAAATATTTATTTGTTTTGCTTATACATTTGTATATATCCTATGATATGGTTATGAATATCTCTTGGATTAGTGTTTTTACACTGCAATCAAATGATACTTTATTCTTTAAAATAAAACAGCTCAATAACTCTGTAATGATCTAATATATCCATGATGTAGTTTGATAATAATAGTTAATTGTTAACATTTTTGTACTTTGTATCAGAGTCAAATGCTTTAGAAATTTAATGAATTTTTATAGTTACTGTGCTGATGAAAAATCACAACTAATTGATTGTTGTTAAATTTTATTAGATTTATTTTTAAAAAACAAGAAAACTATTCTAATTGATTTCCAAATGCTTATTATTTAAAACTGTTGTTTTTTTACATAAAGAGTTTAACTTTATTCAAGAAACAATTTTGAAACTTAGATTATAAATTTAATTGGTTATATTTTGAATCATTTATTGATTTGTTTCTATAGATTTTATTCATGAACTGCTTTTACAGGGTCGTTATTAATATATAGTTTTGAAGCAGTTCTATTGTGATATACAGAGAGCTATATTGGTGTGTTTAATTATGGGCATATATATTATATTTAAAAGATACCTCGGATTTGTCCTTCAAAGCATAATTATTAAATGCATGGACAATGATTTTGTTGATTCATAAGTTCAAAATTTTGTTTTTAAAATTTATTTTGGATGTATCTATTTATTTACTTTTTGTTTATTATATCTGTCATTCCAAGAAGTTATATC